ATCTGTTACTCTTAATTTTGGTTTTATTTACTCTTGAAACAGAACACTTTCGGAGGCACTGCTCAAGTAAATCTGATATACGACGTTTAGTTAGAACATAAAGGGGCGAGTTTCGGGGAACTTGTCACATGCATGTTGGAAGACAACGAAAGTGAAACAAACAGAAAATAATTGCTGAAACTTAGCGGTGTAGCAAAACGAAAAAGAAAAAAAAAAGGAAAAGCAAATCAGTGAAAAATGCCTGCTTTAAAAAATCCGAAACTGTCAAAGGTTAGGAAGTGACAATAAATAAACCTGTCGACGAGAGTTTTGTCAATGTATATGGTGCAATAGGTTTATATCTAATTGTCTCATGTCTGTATTGTATGTTAAAAAGCGGATATAATAAATTAGGTGTCCAATCATTTCTACGTTCAATAGTATATCTTACGTTGTTATAACAGTGTGAATAAGTTTGTATATATTGATATGGTGACTTATGCTGTTTAAGTGGTATTTATGCAGAAAGTTGTGTAGAACGAGTCTTATATATGTCTTACATGTATTTCTTTTAACCACTTAGTCCTTAAATTTTTAACTACGAGTATAAGTACTGAAAAATGTGTCTGATTGCACGTAAATTACTATTTTTCGGGTTGAATATATAGCGTTAACGTCGTGTTTGCAGCATCTTATTCAATCTCCGTTAGTTATCTACATATCGTCTGTTACTCTGAGGATAAAATCGCCAAAATAGTTTGGGAGGGTATTCAAATATTATGCTATTATGAGAACTGACCCAACTCTGACACGGAGAAGGGTAGTGTTGGCTGATCTGGTTCCTTATCCTGGGCGCTCAGGACACCTAAGTCCGGCTCTCGAACAAACGGTTGGGGTGCTAAACCCCTAAATAATGGAAAGTGGCATTACTTTCATTGCTGACTACCTTGGCAAAGAACGTATAAAATTCACTTTGAAATAAGTTGTTTTCGAAAGCAAAGCATGAGAGAAAAAAATCTATATATTGATCCACTTTAACCTTTTTTGGGGGGCAAAATTCGGGGATTTACCAATCCGTTACTTTTTACTTTTATACAGGAATGAGTTGTATATATATATATAATTACTTTTTGAGTATGTCTCTATCCAAACCATAATACTGGACACTATAGACGATATGAAATGACTAATTTAAAAATGGAAAATATGAGGTCAAAATACGAAATGAAAAAATATATATTTTGAATAAAACCACAGTTGTGGTCACCATGAACACCTAAGCCATCA